TCGAAGACGTCAGGTATGTTAGACTAAAGCAGTGATGGCGAACCTTTTGAGCTCAGCGTGTCAGCATTTTGAAAAACCCTAACTTAACTCTGGTGCCGTGTCACCTATAGAAATTTTTTGATATTTGCAACCATAGTAAAACAAAGACTTATAGTTTTGATATTTATTTTATATATTTAAATGCCATTTAACAAAGAAAAATCAACCAAAAAAATGAGTTCGCGTGTCACCTCTGACACGCGTGTCATAGGTTCGCCATCAATGGACTAAAGTCTTACTATGAGTTTCTGAAATCAGAAAACTTTTCCTCATGTGGGGAGAAATGTGACTAGTACTCTTTTTGTTTTATTGGTAGAGCCATGTGTCAGCTGGATAATTGCTGGAAATTGAAACAGAAGAGTTAAAGTTGAGGGTGGGATTTGTGTTCTTTTAAATTTTAATGCCAGTTCCGATTCTCTTTTGTATTCAATGTGACTAAACAAATAGCTCAAGTTTTTTGCCTTGTTTTTAACTGTAAAGTGTTATTTATTCTTTGGTAATACTGTTGGGCTAAGTGTATATTGTTGGAAATCGTAGTTTAAAAAAACCCGTGGGTAAAGCCTAGTTGCCTCTCTAGATGTCTGTTGTCAGAGTAGTCTATTAATTTAGGCTTTTAAAAAAAAATATTCCTTTTATTGAAAGTTGCATGCAATGGTAAATAGATTGGCAGAATTGTTTTCTTCTTTGACCTTACACTGATTCAGAATATATGTTTGTTTGTTTTTTAAGATTTTTTATTGCTTTTTAGAAAGTGAGAAAGGGGAAGGAGAGAGAGAGAAACATGGATGTGAGAGTGATACATCTTTAGGCTTCCTCCGGTCACATCCCCTACCAGGGATCGGGCCCACAACCTGAGCTTGTGCCCTGAACGAGAATTGAACCTGCAACCTTTTGATGCATGGGATGACACCCAACCAACTGACCCTGACTTCATCTTGAGGCAGGGAAGTAAATAAGATTTTTCCTGAATGGAAAGTAATGGGGGGAATCTCTCAAAACAAACTTGGCCTTATCTTAAATATTTGTGTGACTAACTGAAGATGTATTTATAAAAAGGTGTAGTTGTAGGTCTTGGAGGCTTTCAGAAGATAATTGTGGAGACCTAAAGAATTACCTCCGAGAGCGAGCAAGATGGCGGCATAGGTAAACACCGGAGACTGCTGCCGAAACCAACCACTTCAAAAATACAACTAAAAGATGGAACGGACATCACCCAGAACCACAGGAAGGCTGGCTGAGGAGAGACTCTTCAACTAGAAGGAAAGACACTCGTTTTTGAATTCAGGAGTTCTAATATGTAAATGTTCTTTATCCAAGTTATTTATGTCTAGCAAGGCATACATTATTATTTTAAGGGAATTCTTTTCTCTTGCTGTAGGTGCACATTAAAGAGCCAACACCATGACTGACTCCAAGTACTTCACAACCAATAAAAAAAAAAAGTATGCGAACCTGATCAAAAAGCTTTGAGATCCTTCAAAAGTTATGGTGTAAGATTGTGGTGTTCCTGACCTCTTCAGACATGCATGTTATGGACAGTCTCATTGGAGATCTACTACTCCTACAGAAAAGTGTATTGAGGAAATTAAAGTATAGGTATTTATTTGTTT